ACCTCACACAATAATGTTTAAGGAAAAACCACCACCCCAGCAACTCACCATTCGAAAAAAGGGACGTATGACTACTCCAGGTTTCACCGCACCCACAGATGACTAGCCAGCATGACATGCAAAACCGCTGCAACATCATGCAAATGGTTGCCCGCCCCTGAATCCGTACTAAATTATTTCAATATTTAAATGACAGCTATTTAAATAAATTGACCGTTATAAACTTGAATACAAAATAAGTGTCTGGATCCTTCTCGATGTTCTCCTGAAGAACACTAACTACTTTGAAAAGTTTGAAGATAACTTTAAAAAATAATCAAAACAGGACTTTCGCCAGCCTCTGCGAAAAATTATATTTAAATTTCAGTGCTATGAGCGAATCCAATGTCGCAACAGCCGGTGAACACTGGTCCAATCTTCTGACACTGCCTCCGCTTCCTATCGGTCAACTACAGTTCCGCTGAACAAATCGACCTTGAGCCTGGTTCTACGATGGATGAAAGTAAAATGTAGTTTCCGCTCTGATTCCTTGCAAAGTTGCTTAATTTGCCATCTCATGAGCTACAGAAAAATTCACTGCACTTCAGTACCTCATCCAGTTATTTTAAATTTTCTTTATATACTGCCCACATAAAAACTGCCTTTTGATAAAGATTCACGGATAGAACCGTTGAAGGTAAACACAGCTTGCTCATTCGGTTAAAGTTTCAGACTAACAACCGAAAACCACTGGCTGTAGCATCGGTCAGAGCTCTCGTTTCATGTCAATGAGGTGCGTAAGTACTAGTTCATGACAAGAAAAAAAGAAACCATATGCTATAATGCCTATTTAGCTGTAGATACAGCCTTAAAAACGAACAACAATCAAAAAGACGTAGAGAAGGATATTCCCATCGCACAATAACTTTCATGAAAGGGTGGGTGCCACTAACAGCAACCTTTCACTGGATTGTAAATGTAACTAAAACTGAAATCCCAAAGTGGCAAACTTTCATTTCTTCTTATTTTTGGCATAAAGTTTCCAAAAAACAAGTGGGTTGGATAGCGATTTATGTTTTATGGCGCCCCCAAAGATCCAGAAATGGTTCTGGCACGATCCGGGAGCAACTCGAAAATTCACTAATGAAGAAACATGCAATCGCATAAAAATCAACAACTATTTTTAAAAAGCATTTAATATGTAAAAATGTTTAAATGTTATTAATATACATCCAACTGAAATAGCTTGCTGCCGCGGTTAGCGTAAGAAAATTTATAAAGTTCCTACTTGTCATGAATTACGCACAACACAATATCGAATAAACGGAACGGGGGTTCGGTTACTGTACAATGACAACAACGTTCAATGAGGAATTAATAGTATAGCACACTATTTAGCAGCATAACTATTACAATGGTAGAAGATGTACTTCCACAACTAACTATGGTACTAATACTTTGATGAGCCTTCGAACCTGTTTCTCGAAGGCGAAAAAGCATTGCGCCGAAGTACAGTCATCAAAGCGTGTCCCCCGCTGAAAGCTGACGAAATTTCGAAAGTTTCACAACGATGACACGAGGTTAACGCCTCTGTAATGTTCCTGCAGGCGGGCGATAAAAACTGCTGCTTCAATTGGACGAGCTCATTTTACTGCTTTTTACGGGTCGTTACGGTCCCACATGATCAGCATCGCAAACGACACCGCGGTTCATACGGCGGTTCCGAACAGCGATCTTCACGCTGTATTTGTTTGTAGCGAGAAACCGCCAAAATTAGCTGTTAATAACCAACTCCCCGGCGAACCCACCGAAAAGCCATTGGTCAGTGCCGAACGCTGGAATTAAAAACTCATTCGTCACAAACACTCGCTAGTCATAAAGCCTGTACGAAGGGGGACGCTTTTTACACTACCCATCAAGTTTCAAGCACACTTAAGTATCGCCCTTTTCCATAAAAGTGCTATAAACAAAAGAAACTAAAGGTCAAAGCTGGCATTAATTTAAATGAAATAATTTTG